ATCGAGCCCCGCATCGGGCTCCCTGCTCAGTAGGGAGTCTGCTTCTCCCTCTGTCCTTCCTCCTGGGTGTGCTCTCTCTCTCAAATAAATAAATAAAATATTTTTTAAAAAATAAAAAATAAAGAATGCCCATCTATGTATGTTGGTGAAATTTTGTAAAATATAAGAACGGTTCAAGTAGAAATAAAGGTATTAATTACCCACCATTCAGTAATGACCATTGTTAATGACTTTCTATTGTATTTGCTTTTTTTTTTTTTAACATCAAATTTGGGTACAGAAAAGTATTTTCTTGGGGTACCTGCCTGGCTCAGTCGGTAAAGCATGACATGACTTGATCTCAGGGTTGTGAGTTCAAGCTCCACATCAGGTGTGAAGCCTACTTAAAAAAGAAGAGAAAAAAATATATATTTTGTGCGTATATATGCGTATTTGTTTAAATTCTCTATTATCAAACATTGTTTTCACTTTTCCCTATCAAAAAGTTTTTTAATATATCCCTTCACCTTAATGAGAAAAATTTTTTTAGAATTTTAATTTCTGCTTCATTTTTAGTTTCTAAGATTCCTTGCTCTTTTTACTGATCTTTTCCCTGATAACACCCTATTCTTATTACATTTATACGATCTATGTGTTGACAAAATCAGTTACCGGTTGAAAGATGTTTTTGTCCGGCGCCTGGGGGGCTCAGTTGGTTAAGCATCTGTCTTCGGCTCAGATCATGATCCCAGGGTCCTAGGATTGAGCTCTGCTCACGGGGTGCCTGCTTCTTCCTCTCCCTCTGCCCCCAACTTGTGCTTGCTCTCTAGTGTTCTCTCCCTCTCAAATAAATACAATCTTTAAAAAATATATATATTTTTTTCTGTTTACTGCTCCCTGCACTGCCTTCAGGCCCCATAAAATCCTTTGAGGTCCTAGTTTTGGGGGGCCCTCCAATCATTTGAAGAGCAAAGGGAGATGTTGGGGGCTTCTGGGTGGGACTTATGGACTGCTGTGTGTTTGAGGCTGAGCAGCTGGCATGGTAAATTGTCATTTTCTTGGTGGGCCACAAATGTTCATTGAGGGAGAACGAAGGACTCCTCTTGCGCTAGTTATCTCAACAAAGATTCTGGCAGTCTCTGGCAGGAGCTGAAGGAGCGAGGGACACATTAAAAGTTGGGACACCTACAGCTCTCAGAGGATGTGGCCTCTGAGGTTGGTGATCGTGATTGTGAAGGAAGCCAGGCCACATCTCTGTGTGGTTTGCTCCATGATCTGTGCCTCTGACAATTCACGTGCACAGGTGGAAAGTTCGATGGCACCAGGCTCTCCTGTTAACAGGCATGCAGAGTTGGAAGGAAGCAAAGGTTGGGATTATCTCCCACGTTGCTCTGAGAGGCCCAAGAAGGAAGTCAAGGCACCGTGGGAAAGTAGGGACAGCATGGCATCTAAGAGTTGGGAGAACTGTCAGGTGAGGGTACAAGAGAAAGTTAAGGAGGGCAGTAGGAGACTGTGTGGTAAGAGAATGGGGCTTGGAAGTGAGGTTTCAGGGCATCACAGTGGCCATGATGAAGGTACAGGACACGCCCATGGAAGGGGGAACGGATTATTGGGGATAAGATCAGGCAGGGCACTGCAGGTGCAGAGGGCCGTGAGCTGGGCATCTGTGAACATGCCTGGGTCGTCTACCTGAGGCACTACCGTTACTTGAGGATACATTTAGATTTTCACATTGTGGATACAAGTGATCAAATTCAAGGTGAAAGGGTTAGTGGTGGCTCTGGTCGGTTGGGCATCTGACTTGGGTTCGGCTTGGGTCATGATTTCATGGTGATGAGATCAAGCCCCCCCACCCGGTTCCATGCTCGGTGCCGAGTCGGCCAGAGATTCTCTCTCCCACTCCCTCTGTCCCTCCCCCAGCTCATGCACGTGCTCTATCAATCAATCAACTGATCAATCAAATCTTTAAAAAAAAAAGATGAAAGTTAATTTAAGAGGAAGGACTGGAGGGAAATTTTGGACAGTTGCCTGAGGAAACTGTGTGTTTTCTGTGAGTGGGGAACCCAGTGCCAAGTGTAACTAGCAAGAAACTGAGGTCTAACCATACTTATTTGCTCCCTCAGTTCTCATTCTGGTCCACAACCTGTAACAGTGGTCTTCAAACTGGGGCACAGAGTCCCCAGGGACTTTCAGGGAATCACAGAGGCATGAGAGCTTAAAGGGAAGTTTCCAGGTCCTCGACTTTTATAGGTGCTTTATTTTTTTGTTTTTTATTTTTATTTTTTTTAAGATTTTATTTATTTATTGGATAGACAGAGATCACAAGTAGGCAGAGAGGCAGGTGGAGGCAGGCTCCCTGCCGAGCAGAGAGCCTGATGCAGGGCTCGATCCCAGGACCCCGAAATCACGACTCAAGCCGAATGCAGAGGCCCAACCCACTGAGCCACCCAGGCGCCCCGGTTTTTTGTTGTTGTTGTTTGTTTTTAAGTTTATTCCTAGTAATCGCTACACCCAACATGGGGCTCGAACTCATAGCCCTGGGATCAAGAGTCACACACTCTCCCTCACTGAGCCAGCCAGCAGCAGCAATGCCCAACAACCTGCAAAGTGTCCCCTTTCAAAACTGCCCTTCTGGGGCACTGGATGGCTCAGTGGGTTAAGCCTCTGCCTTCGGCTCAGGTCATGATCTCAGGGTCCTGGGATTGAGCCCCTCATCAGGCTCTCTGCTCGGCAGGGAGCCTGCTTCCCCCCTCTCTCTGCCTGCCTCTCTGCGTACTTGTGATCTCTGTCAAACAAATAAATAAAATCTTTAAAAAAAAAAAAAAAACCTGCCTTTCTCCCATTTAAGGGAAGAATAACAGTGTACAGAGGTTTTTTTTTTTTTTTTTTTTTTTTTTCTGTTAAAACTTCAGGACAGAGAACCTAGGAAAAGTTCAAAATATATATATGATACCTGTGCTAAGAAAATGAATGACTAGTGACTGGTAATCTTGTTAAACTGGTCCCACGTTTGACAATTTTTGCTTTCAAGACTTCCTCGTCCTCAGAAGAATGAATAGACTTTTCAGCTCGGTAAAAATAATTCAGTGGTGCGTCACTCTAAGAATTGTGCATATCTGAGCAGCTCTGAACAAAGCCAAAGAATGAGCCACGTTGCTAGAAGCCTCATTCCATTTCCACCCAGCAATGTAAGGTTTCTCTGCACTTAAATCTGTGAAAAAAAAAACATAGCAAGCCAAAGCAGGCTGAACCGTGTCTCCTTGTAACCGTGAGGAACAGTCGTTCGTAGAAACATGTGCAAGAGAAAAGACCCAGCTCACCGAGAGAGGTGCTGCTAATGCGTACAAGTAGCAAAAAATGAAAATCTTATCAAAATATGTAATATACACCATTTGACCAATTGTATACTAGTAACTAGAACTGTGTCTTAGACCAGAGTTAATACTTAGAGCTTTAGAGTCACAGAAAATTAAAATTTGAGATGCCTGGGTGACTCAGTAGGTTAAGCTTCTGCTTTCGGCTCAGGTCATGATCTCAGGGTCCTGGGATCGAGCCCCACATTGGGCTCTCTGCTCAGCAGGGAGCCTGCTTCCTCCTGTCTCTCTCTCTGCCTGCCTCTCTGCCTACTTGTGATCTCGATCTGTCAAATAAATAAAATCTTAAAAAAAAAATGGTACATTGGGGGGACCTACTGGCTAGGTCAGTGGACCATGTGACTCTTGATCTCAGGGTTGTTAAGTTAGAGCCCCACGTTGGATGTAGAAAGGAGGAAACAGAAGCAGGCTCTCTGCTGAGCAGAGAGCCCGATGTGGGGCTCAATCCCAGGACCCCGGGACCATGACCTGAGCCGAAGGCAAAGGCCTTAACCCACTGAGCCACCCAGGCGCCCTAAAATTGCTTCTTAAAAATGAAGTCTTGGGTGCCTGGGTGGCTCAGCTGGTGAAGTGTCTGCCTTTGGCTCAGGTCATGATCCCAGAGTCCTGGGATGGAGCCCCACATCGGGCTCCCTGCTCCTTCCTTTCCCACTCCCCCTGCTTGTGTTCCCTCTCTTGCTGTCTCTGTCAAATAAATACAATCTTTAAAAAATAAAATAAAGTAAAATAAAAATAAAACCCAAGGATTGATGAGGACCTCTTATTTTTTCCTAAAGTCCTACAAGGAATCTTGATGCTGTGTGTGTTAACACAGCCAAAACAGTAGCGATTTTAAGCAGGCTCCACACCAATGTAGAGCCCTATGTGGTACCTGAACTCACGATCCTGAGCTCAAGACCTGAGCTAAGGTCAAGAGTCGGATGCTTGAATAAGCCACTAAGGTGACCCGAAAACAGTAGCGATTTAAAGAGAAAGAAATGTAGACAACACAGACCCTTCACATATTTAACAAAATGGCCAAAGACTTGTTTGCTATTTAAAACCCTTCCATACTTGATTAAGGCACTGGGCGGCACAGTCACTGAAGTGTATGATTTATGGTTTTGGCTCAGGTTATGATCTCAGGGTTGTGGGATTGAGCCCCAGGTCAGGCTCCACACTCAGTGTGGAGTCTGCTTGAGATTCTCTCTCTCTCTCTCTCCCCCTCTGCCCCTCCCCCAGCTTGCACTCTCTCCAAACTCTAAAAAATAAATCATTAAAACAACAACAACAAAAACAAAAGATAGCCACATACCTCTTGAACCCAAGAGCGTGACTCACTGTAGTGGAGATTTCCCTCACTCCTCTCGGCCCCTAGGGAGACCACTGACCACTCCCAACCCTGTCCGTCAGCTGAGATCATGCCTGAGCCTTAGACACCTAGCAGCAATGACTTGTGCCTTTTCATCGCGATTCCGAATTTTCACCAATGCCCCAAGTGTGACTTTCCCTTGTCAAAAAAAAAAAAAGCGCATCCTGCTTAGGAAGTTTAAGCAAGTCTGCCATTTCCACTGCAGAGAACTTATGAGTGAAACCCGAGGCACAGGGGACAGGAAGGTAAAATGCTGCCTTACATTCAATCAGGGCCAAGCTGCAGAATCACTTGGTGTTGCAAAATCTTTATTTGGCTAGAGGTTGGGATGAAAACACCATACAGCTTCTCCCCTGCAAAATTACGTCCTGTAGAGAACGGACTAGCCTGACAACGTTGAGTTTCCCTCTTCAAAACGGCACTTGAATCTCCATCTCTGAAGCCCGTCTGGCCGCGTCCCCATAGCACCTCGTTTCTATGGAAAACCCATTGATGACACTTGCCCTTGACAGTAAACGCACACTCGAGAGCCTATGAGGCCAGCGGAAATACAAATTCCGCATTTTAGAGACTTTTGTGATTTAAAAAGTAAATGTCACCGTCTACTTTGTAGTACCAAAAAAGCAGGTGGTCTGGCTCCTGACTTGGGAGGAAGAGCCCCGGAAGCTTGCCTTGTTTCCGAACCATGTGATCTTTCTGGAAAGCACACGTCACTGGCCATTAGGACAGTGCATCCATGGCTTACAGCCAGGGATGTGGACCCCCAATCAAATCCAGGGCGAGGCTGAGCACCCCAAGAGTCACTTACTGCTTCAGAACACATCTACCGGACAGTCATGCAGAAGGTACACAGTGTACACGTGAGTAAATGCACGCAGGTGGACGACGGGTCTGGGGTAAGACGGGCATGTATTTCTTGCCTCCACCCACCGAACGCACACTGCCTCGGTGACCCACAGCCGTGGCGGACTGCCACCGAAATCAGTGATTTGGATCTCAAGGGTCCTTTCCAAAAACCCACCAAGACTCTCTCCGAAGTGCCAGAGCCGAGTGTCGGCAGCGGGGCCCATCCCGGGCCTGCGGATGAGCTTTGGGAGGGTTTGCACAGACGAGTGTAAAGGAGCCTCTGAGAACAGATGGCGGAAAGCGGGAGGGAAAGGATACATCGGAGGGGTTCCAGGAAAACCAACAAGGTGGGGAAGGCCGACACTCCGCTCAGAGGCCTACGGCACGCTGTAGAAACAACCAGAGGGCACTGTACTCTCCCTCTGTCCTATTAGCAAATGCACAGAAGACCAACTTAAAAAAATGGATTTACTTCAAAACTACTGGTTCTCACGCGCACAAACGGATGTCAGAACTACTTGCGGAGGTTTTAAAAAATATTGAAGTCTGGGCCTCACTCCCGGAGAAGACTGCATGGTGTGGGGCTCAGGACCCTGCATTTTTAAAAAGCTCTTTGGGGAATGTGGATGCCCCCTTCTGCCTGAGTCTCTGGATTTTTAGGTCGACTGGGGTACTTTGGGCTTTTTGGGCCACTGTTTGGGAGTGCGGGGAGCTTTTTTCACAGATTTACTAGCAGTGGTGAAGAACTTGGCCCCTGGCTTTTTGGTCATCTGTCTTGGGTCTTTTTTCCCCCGTGAAGAGTTTTTTTCTTTCTCTGCGTCTTCTTTGATTCTTGGCTTCTTCCCCGGGCCACTGCCTGGGGTCTTGGGCTCCACAGCCTTTGGGGTCTCCAAACCCGGAAAAGCCTTTCTCTTCTTCCCACGGGGTGTGCTGGAAGCAGGACTCTTTTTTGGAGACTTCTTTCCTGCGGTGTGTTTTTGCACCTAAGAAAAAGCAGAGTTAAGTCCAAGGGAAGACAAACCCTGAAAGTGCCCCTCTGAGAACTGATATCATGTCACCGTCATCTTTATCATGTCACACCCCAAAGGGATACTACAGTGTGATAAGATGAGGGATGGCTTTGCCTTTTGGTGCGCATTTTGAAAGGTAACTGTTTTCCATCATTATGGATGGTAGCAAGGACCCTGGTGCTGCTCTCCCAGGTCTGGTCAACAGAGAACCGTCTTTGTCTTTTGTAGAGACGCCGAGAAGCGCACACTGGGAGCACCACAAGGAGCCTGTGGCCCAATCCTGACTCTTCTCCATCTTCAGGTGTACATTCCTTGCCTGTGGGTGAGGACAGGAGTTTCCCAAACTGTCTGTGTAAAAACCATGCGGGCTGCCTCTCAGGAAGCCCTGCTTCCCAAAGCAGACTGAGAAGGTCTTGGAGGGCAACAGGTTCCAGGATCCTCCGGAGCCCAGATGACAGCTGCTGGACAGCACTCTAGTGACAGACGTGTCCAATATGGGAGGAAGTCAGAGAGGCAAAAACAGCCAGCAAAGCAAGTTCGCTTTTCAGTAAATATAAAACAGTAGGATTGTTATGGGAAATTTGGAAAATGTAAGAAATACAAGAAACAAAATTCTCTGACAACGTCAGCACATCATATTAACTACCTATCATTCACTACTTTTCCCCTAGAAGTGTGCATTCATTTAAAAGTCAAATGTTGGGGAACCTGGTTGGCTCAGTTGGTCAAGTGTCTGCCTTCAGCTGGGGTCATGGTGTCGGGGTCCTGGGATGGAGCCCCATGTCGGGCTCCCTGCTCAGCGGGACTCTGTTTCTCCCTCTACACCCCTCTACCCATGCTCTCTCTCTCAAATAAAAAATCTTAAAAACAAATGAATGAATGCCAAATGTTATGCCCTTTCCCTAGTTACTTCATTAGCATTCCCAAGGGCTCTGTATTTTCTTTTTTCTTTTTTTTAAAGATTTTATTCATTTATTTGACTCAGAGAGAGAGATCAGAAGTAGGCAGAGAGTCAGGCAGAAATGGGGGGGAAGCAGGCTCCCTGCTGAGCAGAGAGCCCGATGCGGGGCTCGATCCCAGGACCCTGAGAGCATGAACTGAGCCGAAGGCAGAGGCTTTAACTCACTGAGGGCTCTGTATTTTCTTACTGAACATCATCTCAAATTACTTATAAAAACGACCGGAAAGGCCCATGATATGTCCTCCTCTGCGCCTCGCTGGCAAACGAGAAGGAGGCTTCTGTACAAACGCACACACTTCTACAGCTCGAGCTATGCGCCAGCCAGTCAGCTATCCGCTCTTCCAACCTGCAACATGTCACATCCCGTCCCCTGGAAACACACACAGTGTGCTTTCTCCAAAAACAATTACAATGCTCTCGGGTACACAGATCCTTTGTGTTAGCTTCGAACAGACTTAAAAACTCAGAGAACTCCAGGGACACCTGCACAAGGAGTACTTTCACCAACATGAAAACTCCAACATCCTGACAATTTTAAGGACTGCCGCTACTGGACAAAGAACCCAATCGGTCAAGGGCAGGGCTAGCCCTGGGACGGTCACTCCCACCTCCTAAGGCCACGCCTCACACCAGGGACATGCAGGCTGTACCCGTGGTGAGAACAGCCATCCAGGCCCTCAGCATCCCCTTTCTTCCTCCGCATGTTCAACAGACCTTCTCCTAGCTGGACGGACACTGCGAACGAGGAAAAACTATACCAAGGAATCAAAAAGTTAAAATATTCTGTTCCTTTAACTGATCCCGTGAAACCCACGCAGTTGGGATTTCCGGAGCACACATGTGAGCCGCCCTGCCCTGCTAAGTTTCCTAAGGCTGATGACACGGGGGATCCAGGACTCTCCGTCAGCAACGAAACCACTGCCCACGTTTTTGCCCCGGCCTGCTCGTTAAAACCACGGGCAGCGTTTCCTACAATTACAATGAAAACCAATGACAGTACCTCCGCGTTTCCTTTGGCTGGTGTCTCCCCTATCGGCACCAGCACAGGGATCTCGTCTTCGGATTCCTCCTGCACCTTCGACTGAGCTTTCCCTCGACGGCCCTCTTTCTTCTCACGGGCTCCGGACCCCTCCTTCTGGGGGGCGGGGGCAGGGGTCGGTGCTGTAGTTCCACTAGTTTTGGGGTCCACATCCTCCTTCTCCGGGCCCGACGGAGTCTTCCCAGCCTGTTTCATAAGCCTTTTGTTTTTCTTCTTCTCTTTCTGTTTTTCACGATACTCTTTTTGTTTTTGTTTTTTCTTTGCTTCCTACAAAAAAGAAACAAAACCGTACACGCACAAGCGCAAGCGTAACTTCAGTAAGGAACGTGCTCGTTGGCACATAAACAGCAGAGACTCAGCACGTGCAGCTCTGATGCACCCTATGCTTCTGCAAAGTGCCCCGATGTGTACCAACTCCAAGCAAACAAACCCCACGACCGGCACGTGAGCCTCAACTCCAGTCTGGCTGTAACTCGCAGCCGAGGATGGCCGCTCTGGGAATTACACGCTGGGACTCCGAACCCGGGTGTGCGGCTGGAGCTTCCGCGAAAGCTGATCTCGTTCACGGGGGAGTTAAGAATTATCCTCAGTTGTAGAGCACTCTGATGTGATTTATGTCTCAATGAAACGGTTTCCCAAAAACCCCCACAACTGATCACTTTTTCCTGACTTCAGGGTTTTGGCTTTAAGTGGAAACAGTAAAACGTTTCCACAGCTAGAGGTCCGTTGTCCTAACCAGAGTCCCGGTCAGTAACATCCCTGACCGTGTCCGCCCCATTTTAACCAGCGGTTCCAACATTTTAACCAGCAATCCCAACATTTTCTCCAAGTCCTCAAATGAATCGGACAAATGGCAAAAAAATTCAGATTTCTTGCTTCTGGTAACAGCAGTCTGTTATCCTGGGTCATCTTCCCAATGAAAATAAGTAAAAAAGTAGGGCAGAATATATTTAAAAAATTTTTTTTTGCGGGGGGACGCCAGGGTGGCTCAGTGGGTTAAAGCCTCTGCCTTTGGCTCAGGTCATGATCCCACGGTCCTGGGATCAAGCCCCACACTGGACTCTGCTCAGCCGGGAGCCTGCTTCCCCCTCTCTGCCTGCCTCGCTGTCTGCTTGTCATCTCTCTCTGTCCAATAAATCAATCTTAAAAAAATAAAAAATAATAATAAAAAAAAAAACCTTAAAGGCATCAAGGAACCAACTACGTACAAAACATTTAAAATAAGGAGCCAGGGGCGCCTGGGTGGCTCAGTGGGTTAAGCCTCTGCCTTTGGCTCAGGTCATGATCCCAGGGTCCTGGGATCGAGCCCCGCATCGGGCTGTCTGCTCAGCGGGGAGCCTGCTTCCTCCTCTCTCTCTGCCTGCCTCTCTGCCTACTTGTGATCTCTGTCAAGTAAATAAATAAAAATCTTAAAAAAAAAAAGTGCTTAATGAACTTCCTGTTTTCTTTTAACTTCTCTCGCCTCTACAGAGGCCCCCACTGAGCCTACTCGGCCACTTAACTAACGTACCGATAAACACAAGGTACCTGTACCTCGCTACGCTTTACTCACACCCCCGCTAACGGAGCTCATCTGTAGAGTGGGGACAACGCACGCAAAGCAGGACCACTGGGCAGCCACTGAAGGTCAGGCAGGAAGGGCATCTGCTCCTCTTCCTGGGCCACGTTTCTATCTGTGACGAAGCCCACCGGTATTTTAAAGCCTACTCACCTTCTTCTTCTGACTGGGGGTGCGTATGCCCTTGGCTTCATCCCGACAGCTGACAAACGAGGAAAAGATGGGCAGGGAAGCGGACCTCTCGGTTTTCACATACAAGAGCTTCACGCTCTCCCACTTCTGCAACAGACAAGAAAGGTACGATCGGTGCGGGTCCTGTTTCTTTTAAAGAACAAGAGTCAAGGCATGCCCCCGCGGGACCGCACCTCTGGCAACTTTTGGGAAAGCCTCTTCGCCACGGTGATGATGTTATCGACAACGTGCTCAACCTCCATTCCAGTGTGGCCAACGCGGATAGTACTGAAATGTAATACAGCATGAGACAGGAAAGTTTTAAAAAATAATAGTAATTTGTGTTTCAAAATACAGCACAGGGGCGCCTGGGTGGCTCAGTGGGTTAAAGCCTCTGCCTTCGGCTCAGGTCATGATCCCAGGACCCTGGGATCAAGCCCCACATCGGGCTCTCTGCTCAGCAGGGAGCCCGCTTCCTCCTCTCTCTCTGCCTGCTTCTCTGCCTACTTGTGATTTCTGTCTGTCAAATAAATAAACAAATCTTAAAAAAAAAAAAAAAAAATACAGCACAGGCAGGTAAGCGAAACATAAATACATGATCCTGAGAAAAAAAATTAAAGGTAGAAGCGTTCAAGTCTTTGTGGTTTCACTATTTCTCTTTTTGTAGTTGTTTTATACAACTGTTATTTTGTTTAAATTCAATTAACATAGTGTACTATTAGTTCCAGAGGTAGAGGTCAGTGGTTCATCAGTCTTGTATAATGCCCGGTGCTCACAGCATCACGTGCCCTCCCTCATGCCTGTCACCCAGCTACCTCCTCCCTCACCCCCCGTCCCTCCAGCAACCCTCAGTTTGTTTCCTGTGACGAAGAGTCTCTTATGGTTTGTCTCCCTCTCTGGTTTTATTTTTTCCTTCCCTTCCCTACGATCCTGTTTTGTTTCTTAAATTCCACCTGTCAGGGGCACCTGGGTGGTTCAGTGGGTTAAAGCCTCTGCCTTTGGCTCAGGTCATGATCGCAGGGTCCTGGGATCGAGCCCCGCATCAGGGAGCCTGCTTCACCCCCACCCCCGCTCTGCCTGCCTCTAATAAATAAATACAATCTTAAAAAAAAAAATTTCCACCTATCAGTGAGATCATACGGTAACTGTTTTTCTGTGATTGACTTGTTTTGCTTAGTTTCATGTTATTTTTAAGATTTTATTTGTCAGAGAGAGAGAGAGCATATGAGCAAGCAGGAGCAGCAGAGAGAGAGGGAGAAACAGACTCCCCACTGAGCAGAGAGCCCGACTCATGGCTCGATCCCAGGACCCTGCGATCATGACCTGAGCTGAAGGCAGACACTGAACAACCTTAGCCATGCAGGCACCCCAGGTTCAATATATTGTAAAAGGAAATTATGATCTTTTGTTTTCTAGCAATGCCCTGCTCCCGAAATACCATGACCCGGTGATGGAGGAGCTGCCCTGGGAGGCTTATCAGCCATCAGCTGGAGGAAGTTCTACCTTCATTCTAGAAAACATGGGTCACACAGTTGGCCCTCGAGCTTTCCTGAGGAGCTGTTCTGGAAGGAAAGACCGCTGGGAGGGATGCTTGTGTCTTTACAGTCCCCTGTCCTGACCCAGCTGTCATCATCTAAGACCAACAGTTCTTGTCCCTGGTGTAACAGCGTCTGCGTGCCAAGGGCAAGATGATCCCTTCAGCTGAAGCGGGGTATAGACAGAAGCCAACTGGAAAGCTCCGCTACTGCTCAGCCACTGGGGCCCTGTTCCTGCCAGGCCCTGTCCTCCCTACCTCAGGAGCTGGAAGGCAAACTCATGGTCTGCTGGGAGTCGCAGAATGAGGATGAGACGGGGCTGGTGCTGTCACACCCCTCCAGCCAAAGACAGGGCTCTGCCCGCTGAGGGCTCACTGCCAGTGCAAGCACATCCCTGGTCTCCCAGACGGGAAGATGACAAGAACTGAAGGAGACAGGAGAGGGGGCAGGTGACGGGACAGGAGAGAGAATGAGGGGAGTCGGGAGAAGAGTGGGTGTGAAAGGAGAGCAAAGTACAGCTCAGGCATCTATACTGTCCGTCAGCTGCCCACAACTCTCCTGAAGGGGAAGAGGAGACTGATGCTCCTTCCTCTGCCTTCTCGGAGCCATCTCCCTCTCCCAGCTGCCCACCGATCCCAGGCCCCTAGGCCTCTGACCTGCCCTCGGACCACCTCCCACGAGCCACAACTTTGATGTCTGCCTACAACCAGAGTTGGGCCCAGGCCTGACCACCAACTCTTCTCAGCAGCTTTACTACACCCAGTTAAGGGATCGCCCACCTGCAGACAGAAGACAAGCCCAGAACCATCCCAGGGAAGCAGAGTCTAGACATCCTGATGGTCACATTTTACCATGGGCCCTGCCCTGGGCATGCAGAGGTTCCTGGGGTATCTGGAAGAGAGGCCCCAGAGCCCCCCAGTGCTGCCCTCCTGGCAGCTGTGCAACCCCACACCACAGATGCCCAGCCAGAAGGTAATTTTTCAAAATAATTCTAAATATGTTTAAAAATCCCCTCCTTCGGGGCGCCTGGATGGCTCAGTGGGTTAAAGCCTCTGCCTTCGGCTCGGGTCGTGATCCTGGGGTCCTGGGATCGAGCCCCACATCCGGCTCTCTGCTCAGCGGGGAGCCTGTCTCCCCCTTTCTCTCTGCCTGCCTCTCTGCCTACTTGTGATGTCTGTCGAATGAATGGATAAAATCTTAAAAAAAAAAAAAAAGAAAAAAATCCCCTTCTTCAAAAGGGGAACTCTCCTACACTGCTGGTGGGAATGCAAATTGGTGCAACCACTCTGGAAAATAGCATGGAGGCTCCTCAAAAAAGTTGAAAACAGAGCTACCCTACAACCCAGCAATCGCACTATTGGGTATTTACCCTAAAGATACAAATGTAGTGATCTGAAGGGGCACATGCACCCGAATGTTTATAGCAGCAATGGCCACAATAGCCAAACTACGGAGAGAACCTAGATGTCCATCAACAGATGAATGGATAAAGAAAATGTGGGGTATATATATATATATATATATATATATATATATATATATGATGGAATACTATGCAGCCATCAAAAGAAATGAAATCTTGTCATTTGCAACGACGTGGATGGAACTAGAGAGTATTATGCTGAGCGAAATAAGTCCATCAGAGAAAGACAATTATCATATGATCTCCCTGATATGAGGAAATTGAGAGGCAACGTGGGGGATTTGGGGAGTAGGAAAAGAATAAATGAAACAAGATGGGATCGGGAAGGAGACAAACCATAAGAGACTCTTAATCTCACAAAACAAACTGAGGGTTGCCAGGGGGAGGGGGCAGGGAGAGGGTGGTTGGGTTATGGGCATTGGGGAGGGTATGTGCTATGGTGAGTGTTGTGAAGTGTGTAAACCTGGCAATTCACAGACCTGTACCCCTGGGGCAAATAATACATTATATGATTAAAAAAAAAAAAAAAAAAATCCCCTCCTTCTGCTCATCTGCCAAGTGCTCCAACTTAGCCGGCCCCTTGGGGTATTGAAAAAGGTGGAGCCACATTCTCTGTCCACCTGGAGAGCCACACCTCCCCAAAAAGTCTCTCAGAGGCCAGATGTGGGGGGTTCTACCCAGCTTGCCATCCTGATTCAGAAGAAATCAGTGTGAAAACAAAGAGACAACAGATAGCAGATGAGGCAGGATGGATGATGAATTCACTGAACAAGAAGTCAAATCAAGACTTAGAGGTCTTGGGCCGCCTGGGTGGCTCAGTGGGTTAAAGCCTCTGCCTTCGGCTCAGGGTCCTGGGATCGAGCCCCACATCTGGCTCTCTGCTTGGCAGGGAGCCTGTTTCCTCCTCTCTCTCTCTCTGCCTGCCTCTCTCCCTACTTGTGATCTCTGTAAAAAAAAAAAATCTTAAAAAAAAAAAAAAAAAAAAAGACTTAGGGGTCTCTCCCCTGTAACAGGTAACATGATCCCGGGCAACAGGAGAGCCCAGAACCACTGACGTTCACTATGTGTTAGTTTTGTCCTCCTTGTTTCCCACAATACCTACAGGTGCCACCAGCCACACATGCCTATTTCAGTTTACATTACGTGAAATCAAGTAAAATTAGAAATTCAGCTCCTTGGCCACGGCAGCCATATACAGCTCATGACTCCCTTTTCTTCTTTTAAAGATTTTATTTATTTATTTGACAGAGATCACAAGAAGGCAGAAGAGAGAGGAGGAAGCAGGCTCTCCACCAAGCAGAGAGCCCAATGTAGGGCTCTATGCCAGGACCCTGAGACCATAACCCGAGCCAAAGGCAGAGACTTTAACCCACTGAGCCACCCACGCACCCCATGCTCAGGACTCTTATGCAGATCCCAGATACAGACCACTTCCATCACTGTACAAAGTTTTATGGGATGGCGCTTTTCTAGGGAACCAAGTACTTCTTAGGGATATACCTTACTTTTAACAGAAGGATCTGGTTTCATTAACACGATCTTGTTAAAAAAAAAAAAAAAATTTATATAATTATTATCAAGTGGATAGAAAACGAGACACTGATAGCTTTGCCCTACCTGCAGGAACCACTTTTAGAGATGTTTAAGACCGTTCCACCGATGCATTCATTGATCTCCCTGGATAAATTCTTGGACAGAAGGTTTACAGGTACCGGAACTCTGTAAGAACACACAGGCACTTGGAGCAGAATGTATACACATCTGCGAAGTTCACTCTGCTCAAACCCCGTTACTGGTAAGAAACCTACTTCTTTCTGTGGTAGAAATGTCTCCCCAGGTGGGACGGCAAGAGACGCCGGATTCTCGCGTCGGTAAGGAAGAAGTCAAAACTGCCCAGGAGGCGGAGCTTGGCTTCATAGGCTTTATACTCCTTTTTTAAAGTTCGGAGGGGGATAATCTAAAAAAACACAAGGAAGAGGAAAAACACAAAAAGTTAAGAACTTGAACAAGAAGAAGAAAACTGAAGCAATAACTTGTGTCCGGATCTTAAAATGTCCCAGGGCCACAGTTTAGGGAACATGTGGAGAGCACCGAGCATGGGCCAGGCACTGTGTTAACCACTGGGGACACAGAGACTGATGAGCTGGGACGGCCTATAACGAAAGGACACCAGCAACTACAAACCACAGCGGGAGGCGCCAAGTCACAGGCAAACCCGGGAATGTTCTGAAAGTGCTGACTGTGACCTAATGGAATGATCTTCTGGAAACTCTTCAAGATACAAAAGTTAAGGATGGGGCGCCTGGGTGGCAGTTGGTTAAGCCTTTGGCTCAGGTCATGATTCCAGGGTCCTGGGATCCAGCCCAGCATTGGGCTCCCTGCTTAGTGGGGAGTCTGTTTCTCCCTCTACCCTGGCTTATGCTCTCTCAAATAAATAAATGAAATCTCAAAAAAAAAAAAAAAAAAAAAAAAAAAAAAGAAAAAAGTTACTTATGTACACATTAGCTTTTAGGTCAAAACAAACAAACAAACAAAACCTTAACAGTTCATCTATCATAGAAAAGATGGAACATACCTTACTGAAGCCAACAAAAATTATAAAGAAAAAAATAAGATTAAAAATTAAATTCCTGGGGTGCCTGGGTGGCTCAGTTGAGTTAAGCCTCTGCATCAGCTCTGGTCATGATCTCAGGGTCCCAGGATCGAGCTCCGCATCGGGCTCTCTGCTCAGCAGGGAGCCTGCCTCCCCCCTCTCTCTGCCTACTTGTGATCTCTGTCTGTCAAATAAATAAATAAGAAATCTTAAAAAGACAAAAAAAATTAAATTCCTAGGGGCGCCTGGCTGGCTCAGTCGGTGAAGCACGTGACTCTTGATCTCAGGGTCGTGAGTTTAAGCCCCACAGTGGGTGGAGAGATTATGCAAAAATGAAATTTTTAAAATGAATGAATGAGTGGCTAAATAAATAAAAATAAAATCTCTAGGACAGAAATACTAGGTTAGCAGGTAGTACAGGAATGTATGACTTATCACTTTAAGGACTGAATCCGATCTTTTAATTGTCCTGAAAATATTAACCGCTCCTGACCTGAGAAATGGTTTTAATCCCATGCTTGTTCAAAAGCTTCTTGTAAAACCGTTCCGTCTTTTCAGGAGTTAAGTTGGGTTCATCCTTGGTAAGTAAACAAATATCTGTTAAATCTGATCGAATACTGTGAGGCAAGGACCTGCAAAACATAGAGATGGGACAGAGAAAGCAAGCGTTATAACAGACACAACACAATGTATGTTTCTATTCCACAGGACACAATAAATTCAGTCATTCCGACAAACTGTCCGCGCTATTTAAGCAAATACTCCACCAAGAACATTTAAAAATGTATGTAGTCTTCAATGATACAGAGAAGAGATTTAAGATCCAAGTAAACCATCACAAATACCCAGACTCCAAGATATCAACTGAGGGTGCCTGGGTGGTTACGGGTCCAACTTGATTTGGCGCAAGTCAGGATCTCAGGGTTATGAGATCGACCCCTGCACTGGGCTCCACCCAGGTGTGGAGTCTGCTTTAGATTCTTTCTCTGCTGCTTCCCAGGGCCCTCCCCCACCAAATAAAGTATCAATTACTATGTGGGATATAAGGAGACTTAAAACATAATGAAGCCACCCAAGGTAATACACACGGGGTTATATTATTTTAAAGATTTTATTTATTTATTTGACAGAGATAGAGAGAGAGCACAAGTAGGCAGAGAGGCAGTCAGAGATGGTGGGGGGAGATGCTGAGCAGAGCGGGATGCGGGGCTCAATCCCAGGACCCTGAGATCATGACTTGAGCTGAAGGCAGAGGCTTAATCCACTGAGCCACCCAGGCGCCCCCGTGTTTTTGTTTTTGTTTTTAAAGGCACAATTACATGTTTCAACTCATAATTTGAGTTTGCAAAATTTCCACCAGAAACAAAAGCGCAACTGTTACAGCTCTACAGAATGACCGAGCAGATAACAAGGGCAAAAGTAGAAAATCAGAACTTACAATCTGACCCTCAGTTCTTTACTTGGAATCTTCCACAATACCACCATTAAAAAGAAATTTTCATTCTCATTCAAAAGCAATCCATTTGCGTTTTTCCTGGACTTGGAATGTGTCAACAGAGCTTCCACTGCCTTTCTAATCTGCAAAGTAGAGATATGCAAATACATTAAATCTCACTCTAATTTAGCATTTGCTCCCTCCTCTCGCCTTTTTTCCTTTTCTTTTTTTTTTTTTCCTCCTCAAATTCTATTTGAATAGGCAACTCCACAACCCTCTGTATTAGGATCCTACAATTTGGGATCAGACTGCATCAGAAACGACCGAAGTATCCGCTCAGCACCCACTTGCCAAAAAGAGCCTCTCCCACGTGAAGGCATCGCGCCAGGTGGGAACGTGCTTCCCGCGGCCTCGATGATTGAGGCAGCGATCCCGGGAAAAGCGCAACACGCCATAACTAGCACCCACTGGGCGCTTACCAAGGGTCAGGCCCCTGGCTACAGCTCTTCACAGGCCTCGCCTCCTCTGATCCCGGTGAGGATCTGATCCCGGTGAGGCGCCGAAGCCAGCAAGCAGAGGCCCTCTTAGACCCGAGGTCACTGAGGCTTGCAGAATTAAGCGACCCGGTCAAGCCAACGGGTAAAGAAGCAGAGCCAGGTGCGTCTCAACCCGGAACCCCGGCTGCACCTGCAATCTACCTGGGGGACCAGGCCGCAGGGCTGGGGGTCGGCAGGCGCCTCCCCGCGCGCAGGAAGGAGGCGGCAGGCTGAGCGCAGCTCGACCCAGCGACTCTCCCCAAACTCCGGGGGCGCCCGCGGGGGCGCGAAGCCCGCACCGGCACCCCGCGTCTCACAAGCCCCCTGCCACCCCGCCTTCCGAGCCCCACGCCCCAAAGGGCCGCTCACCTGTCCTTTGTCCAGCTGCTCCACGGAGGCCGGGGTCGCGGGAGCGGAGTCCGAGGCTGCGGTTGAGGATGAGGGTGCGGTGGAAGCGGAACCCTCCATTTCGCTCGCACCTCGTGCGGCCGTGCGCGCGGTACCCGGGTCTGGCTCCCCGTGCGCACGCGCGAGCTCAGGCCCGTAGCCGGAAGTTGGGGGGCGGGACCGGTCTCTCGCGTCACGTCCGGGAGCGCGGGGTCAAGACCCAGGAAGTCACCGCTGCGGAGTTTTGGCGGCTCGAGTGAACCGGGCTAGCGGGCGCGCCTGGGGTCCCAGTGTCTCGCGTGAGGCGCGGGAGCCTCCTGGTGACTCCTGGCTCTCGCTCTGCGCGGAGGGACTCGAGCGAGCGCCTGGATGTGGGGGAGGGGCGCGGGGAGAGCGCGAGGCCTGGCCTGCCACCCGCCGCCTCGCCTGCCACCCGCCGCCTCCCCTTCGGAGGCCGGGGGCGCGGGTCTCTCCTGGGCCTCCGGTCGCGGGCGAAGCGTGCGGACTGGAATAATCCGAGGCCGGAGAAGGTAGAAGCCCCTCCCACCCCGCGTCCCCCGAGGTCCCCCCGCGGCCACGTGGAGCCTTCCAGGGATGTTCCAGGCACGTTAGGAAATACATACTTCTTCCTCTTTATGGATGCGTGGGTTTAAACGTATTCTTTCCTTTTTAAGATTTTACGTATTTATTTGATAGCACAAGCAGGGGGAGTGGCAGGGAGAGCAGACAGAAGGGGAAGCAGGCTTCTCGCTGAGCGGGGAGCCCGAGACGGGGCTTGAGCCCAAGACCCTGGGATCTTCCTGAGCGGAAGGTAGATGCTTAACCGACTGAGCCTCCCAGGCGGCCATTAATCATCTTTTTTGGAAAGCAGATAGTCGTCTAGTGTACCCGCTGTTCTGTACGTTGTCTTTTCCTCCGAATGCATGTATCTTGGAGATTGTCCACGTCGGTACCTAGTGCTCTGCCTCGTTTTTAAAAACTCCCTTCTATCGTGTAGGTGAACTGTTTATTTAGGAATATTTTGATGGACATACAAGACGATTCTAGTCTTTTTGCAACTAGCTGTGGACATGTTTGAGAGCTGAAAGAATGGGAGTAGGGGGGGCTTTCCATGTCTGTTGTTTCCCCCAAAATGCTCCTTCCATTTTGGCAAACCTGGAGGAAGGCTTGTTCTTCTGCTGATCTCTGATAGTGACTTTGTAATCAGCTTGTGGAAGGAATGTTTTTAAACCTTCAGCACCTGCTCTCACTCATCTGTTCTAGAATTTCATGTCAAAAGGTCTTCATTTTAGCACAGTATTCTGAATTTTGTGGGAGGCCAGGTGTGCCAGCGTTTTCTAGCGTTCTGAGAAGAGCGGTAGGGGAGTCACATGTGACATCTGAATTCGAGGTTGAGAACCAGACTTGTAGACCAAAGCAAAGGCATGCCTTAAAGGAGCAGGGTGGTGTTTGCAGGGAGCAAGTGGCTGGAGCAGGGACAGGAAGAGGGGAGGATAGGAGATGAGCTAGAATGGTAGCTTAGGGAATTAATTCATTGCGAGACTGAAGGTTGCTATGTACCTTGGAGCCCTGTGTAGGTATATGGTTTTTGAGCTGGTGGTAGGGAAGAAGAAGAGGTGGCCTCATTCATCTGTAGGCTTTGGGAAAGTTCATAATCTGGCTGTGATATTGTCTTGATATAAAAAAAATAGGACACATGCCCAGAAATTCCTGGATATTTAAGTGATGGTGCTTCATGCCCTTCCCCTTGAGTGTGACTTGTTTCTATCAGATGGGACACAGCAGACTATAGTTTCCACCTTGAGTATTTTTTCCCTTGCATCTCTCTCTCCCTCCCTCTCTTTTGTTGTGTTCAAAGTGTTTGCTCTGGGTGAAGCCAGCCACCATGTCCTGACGCTCCTCGGCCTGCTGCAACCATGGGAGTGAGCACGGAAGTGGATCCTCGGGGAGTCGAACACTGAGATGATCAGAAACTTTTTTTTTTTTAAGATTTTATTTATTTGAGAGAGAGTAAGTCGAGTAGGGGCCAGGCAGAGGAAGAAGGGAGAAGCAGACTCCCCGCTGAGCAGGGAGCCAAGGCAGGGCCTGATCCCGGGATCCTGAGATCATGACCTGAGCTGAAGACAGTTGCTTAATTGAGTCACCCAGGCACCCCAACCACAGACTCTCGAGAGACCCTTAGCCAGAACTATCTAACTGTGCTGCCTCCTGACCCACAGAAACTGTGAGGCACTAAGTGTTTGTTATTTTAAGGCACCAAATTGGGGGTAATTCGTTATCCATCATAGATAGCCAATGGGAATTTGTCGACCTTCTGTCTTCAAACCCATCCACTGTGTTGACGCAGAGGTCCTGGGGAGACCTCATGCCTAGCAGGTCCCACAGCAACTCATTACCTTCCCCACAGGCCTGCGTGTCCCGTGTTTTCTGTCTCAGTCGTTGGCACCACCAGCCACCTAGTTGCCGCGGCCAGCGTATGGGAGCCATCCTTAACCCTTCTCACCCCCCACACACGGTCAACGGCAAAGACTTGTGTATTCCTTTTAGATGTCTCTTGTATTTATCTAATTCCTTCTACTGCCATCTTGTAGTGCAGCCGGCGTCCTGTTTTCCTCCGACTGAGCTAACTCGTCTTCCTGTCTCCATTTGTGCATCTTACTCCGTTCCCTGCCCCCTTCAGTTTTCGTCAGAACGTGCAAATCTGACCCTATCAAAGCCGATCATGCTTGACCACCTCTGTGGCCTTATCGTTGTGAGGATAAGGTGCAGATTGCTCCAGACGCCTCACATATATCAGAGTTGGCATCTGTTATCTGGTATCCTATCTAGTTTAGTATTTGTCCTGAAAAAGTGCCTCAGTTTGAACAATAAATGACACGGTCATTCACACATTAGGTGGGCTTCATCTGGTGCCTCCCTCCCATGTCCTTAACTTCACACACTGCCCCCACCCCTTGGAGATCCTGCTCTCAGCTCCACTCTGTCTTCATACCTTCCCACGTGCCCTGACTCCTTCCCCAAACACTGCCACCTCCACAGTTGTTGCCTCATAATTGGCTCTCCCATTGGAGGATAAGCTTTCAGAGGGTCGGGGAGAGCCAGTTAATCATAGGAAAATGATAAATGATACATGTTCACCACTGTGTCCTAGTACCTAGCACTTATCCCATACATGACATAATTAGTATTTTTTTAACAACTTTTTTTTTTAAAGATTTTATTTATTTGACAGAGATTACAAGTAGAGAGGCAGGCAGAGAGAGAGGGGGAAGCAGGCTCCCCGTTGAGCAGAGCGCCCAATGCAGGGCTCGATCCCAGGACCCTGGGATCATGACCTGAGCCGAAGGCGGAGGCTTTAACCCACTGAGCCAGCCAGGCGCCCCCATAATTAGTATTTCTTTAAAGAATATGTAATGCATTGGAATGGCTGAGACAGGGCTTACAGGAAACGACTGTGGTCGTCTAGGTACTGAAATCTGATGAGGGGAACAGCATCGAGGACAAAGTGTAAGACTTGACACCTGGGTGGCTCAGTCGGTTGAGCATCTGTCCAGCTGTCGATTTCGGCTCTGCTTATGATCTCAGGGCCGTGAGTTCAAGCCCCGTATTGTGCTGCACACTGGGCATGGAGCTTACTTAAAAAAAAAAAAGAAAGAAAAAGATCTGACCAAAAATTGGATATATTAGGAGGGAAATTCAGATTACTCCCAAATTCTGAATACCTGGGCACATGAGTGGTGGTGTTAGTAGAACTTGGGACGGCAGGAGGAGCAGATTTGGAAAGAAAAATACGAGATTCTTTTTCAGTATTTTGAGCTTGACATTCCAGGGGCACATCCAGGATCTGGGCCGTGGGAGAGAAGGTTCTTGAGGGAAAGAAGGAAGTTTGGAAGTCAGGGAAGGGACAGTTACAGCTGCGGACGGATGAGCGCGCACAAAGTGGGACAGGGGAAGAGCAGGGCTGTGCAGAGCCCACAGTTTGGGGACAGGAGGAAGGGAGCCACTCTCGGAGCCTGAGAAATAATCCAGGATGTCAAAGGAAACCAGGAGGGTGTTGTGTTCCCTCTGGAGGAGCGGAGATGCTGGGACAGGGTGACAGCGCGTCAGTACTGAGGAAATTGGGAAGACATACTGAATAAGGCCGTGCTGGTGGGCAGGCGGGTCACAGTGAGCTCACAGAATGCCGTTTCGGTGGAAGGATTATGAGCGGTAGCAGAGGCGGAGGAAAGATGGAACGTGGGGATGTGTGTCACCTTTACCAGGAGGGTAAAGGAAGTAAAATGACCGGTTTTTGTGTCCCAAGGACTTCGTTAGGGTCTCAGTTCTTTCAGCACCAGGGATAGCGTGCTTAATGACACTGCCTCGTCTCTCTAGTGGCATTATTGAGTTACTTGTTAGCATCTTTGGTTTCCCCACAGATTGAACCTGTGTGGCCTCACAGGACTTCGGGTCCCCAGTGCCCAGCTTGTGTGTGCACGCCCGGCAGCGTGAGTTCCCAGGGTGAGCTGAGGCGGGGGAGGGTGTGAGGCCCACTGTGAACCGCGTTGTTGGTCCCCGAGTACCTTGTGGACGCGGGTGGCTCACAAGCGAGAGGGCAGCAGTAGTGAGAGTTCCTCTCGAGAGTCAGTGCCCTACCCTTCCCTGGTAAGACCTGCTTGTTCCGCGAGAACCGGGGGTACACACATGGCCCACCTGGCACGAGGGGAACAGACCGTGCTCCCAGCATGGCTCTTCCTGGTCCACTGTCTTCATTCCTTCCTCTGAAGTGGTCTTTGTGCTTCCCATGTGCTCTTAAGACAGTGCCAGCCTTCCTGTCCTTTCCCTGCCCCCTCCCTTTTGTCCTTTTGTAGGTGAGTGCTGGTTCTCCGGAATCGTTAGAGGATTCAGTGAGACGGCAATCACCTGCATAGCGCCCAGCACACACATAATAGCACAAGACTTGCCCCGAGCTGAAAATACGATGATTGGATGGATTGGAGGTGAACTATGCATCTTAGCCGCTGAAAGAGGGAAGGAGGTGCGCCTGCGTTCAGGCAGGGGGAACTGGCCAGTTAGTCAAGACATAAGACATTGTCATTAGACCCAGTTTTCTAAAGAAGCCTGGGAGGGCGCTGGGGAAGAGAAAGCGGGAGAGCAGCGAAGTCTCGGGC